CCAGGCCCGAGGAAGTGGCATTCCACACGAGCGTATGGATTGGATTGACTTAGAACAACATCATTTCAAAGCACGCGGCCACCTGGCCCTGCTTTCAGGCACTCAGCTCAGAGATAAGCGACCATAAATCTTCTTCTAGAGGAGGCCCGACTCCGCGCTAACACACGAACAGGGGTCCACTCCTGAGACTACTAAGAACAATGCGGAAGGCAGTTCGGCCCTAAAGAAAGCAGGAGAGGCCGGGCAGCGGGGTGTGTTTGCTCTCCGGCCAAATCCCCCGCAGCCAGCCAGGTCGGGAGCCGGTTCCCCAGCTCGCGCGCCCCTCCCTTCTCCTTTTCTCCGGCCTGTGCGCCCGCCCGCAGCCATTTCTCGTCACTGTTGAACAATAGGCCTTGCTAGCAGCTGGCAGCCTGGCCGCCCTGCCTGGGGCCTTCCAAGGGGCGGGCAGGGGAGGGCAGGGGAGGGGAGGGGGCGCCCCTGGCGGCTGTGGGGCGGGGTCAGCCAGGCTGCTGTGAAGGGGGTTCCCAGCGTGTATGCGCCCTGGTCATGACCGGTGGCCACGCAGTCCCAGGAGCCTCGAAAACTGGCAATGGAGAACTCAGCGCAGCGGTTCTCCTCCCACCCGGAAGCCTTTGTAAAATCCCTGAGCCCCGCGCCCACCCCAAGAGATGCCGGAGAAGCCCCCAGAGAGGGAGGAGAACTGCCGCCTGGGGCAACACAGGGCAGTCCTGCCTCTTTTTTTTTTTTTTTTTTGCTATTGAGCCAACTGAGGCCCAGAGAGGGGAAGGGCTGGTCAAAGGTCGCACAGGGCTAGGATGAGAGAACATGGGGGTAGTCAGCCCTGTGCAGCCATCCCAACTCCTGGCTCACTGCTGGTCCCACTGGAGCAGCTTCCTCCTCTTGTTCCTCGGAGCAATGCTGCGGTTGTGCCGGGCGGAATCCACAGCCCTGTGAAGAAAAGTGGGATACCAGCCGGTGCAAGCAGTTTGCGCTTGACTGCTAAACCAAAGGTTGGTGGTTTGAACCTTGAACCCATTCGGTGATGCTGAGGAAGAAAGGCCTGGAGACCAACTTCCATAAAGATTACAGCCAAGAAAACCCCATGGAGCAGTTCTACTCTGTAACACACGGGTCACCTTGAGTCAGAATTGACTCCAGGCAACAGGTTTGTTTTTTTTGGTTATGAAGAGGACCAGAGGTGAAGCAACTCATTCAGGGAGTAGAACAGGTCTCCTGACCTTGTTCAGCCTCCAGGAGTCACCTGCCGTGGACTCGATGACTCCAGGGCAGTGACAGGAGACAGGAGAGAGCACTGCTGCAATCCCAGCTCTGGCATCTGTTGCTGTGTGGCCTCTGGGAAGTTGCTTAACCTTTCTGAGCCTGGGTCCCTCTGTCAAGTGGGGGTGGTAAGATAGACCTCGAAGGCTGGGGCGACCAGTCCATGAGATCATGCACACAGGCACTTAGCAGTGTCTGGCACGCATGTGTGCTGAGTAAATGGTAATCCTGGGGACTGTTATCCCCATTCAGTTAAGGATTCCCTTCCAAGAGGAGCCACAGGGACATTAAAAGCAGACAGAAGAGGCAATGGAGACATTGGACCTTAGATTGCCATGCAAGCTCAGAGAACAGTGTTCTCAGTAAAGAAATAGCTGGCCACTATGATGACAAGCATGGTGTTAGGGAATCATGATGCCCCCAAAAGTGCAGCACTGAGGTATCCCAACTTTGCTCTAAGTCCTAACCTAAAACACCACGCTGAGAGTGGAGACCTGGTTTATGGCCTTGCCCACTACCCTGTCCGCTGTAGCTAACATTTGTAGACAGTTTATTATGTGCCAGAACAGTCCTCAGGGTTTTATGTGTATTGACTCATTTAATCTCTACCCCTCCATGAGATGAGCTCAGTGATGACACCATTTTATAGATGAGGAAGCTGAGGCACAGAGACATTCGAGAACTCCCCAAGGTTACACGCTGTAAAAGGTGGAGTCAGGATTCAAACTCAGCCAAACTCTGAACCCCAATAAATGGTCTCTGGCCACTTCCTCTCTCTGGGTCTGCTTTCATGTCTGTAAAATGAGGTCCTTTGACCAGAAGATCCATCTCTAAGGCTCCTCCCAGCTCTTAAGCTCTCTGAAGAGTCCACTCTTCTGTGACGTATTTGACCCATCTATCCCTTTGGCCCCTGCACGTCCACCTCCAGCACTCAGTGCCATCGTGACTGCCCTGGTCCCTGTATTCATCTTTCTAGGTGTGTATGTCCGCAGTCTATGTAAGACCCTGAGCCAAAGACTGTGGCCTGTCCCAACTATGGTCAGACACTGTCCTAAGAATTGTGTGGGTTGCAAAGATCTGTGTTTGGCAAATGTTTTCTGTAAAGGGCCAGATAGCAAAGGTTTTAGACTTTGAGGGCCTTTGGTCTCTGTTGCGACTACTCAACCGTGCCACTGTAACCTGATGCAGACACGTTGTTGTTGGGTGCCATCAGGTTAGCTCCGACTCATACTGACCCCATGCTGAACCGAACGAAACACTGCCGGGTCCTGCACCGTCCTCACAACTGTTAATGTGTTTAAGCCTATTGTTGCAGCCATGATGTCAATCCGTCTTGTTGAGGGTCATCTTTTTTGCTGACCTTCTACTTTACCAAGCATGATGCCCTTCTCCATAGACGATACATAAATAAATGTGTGGCTGTATTCCAAAAAAACTTGACCTACAGAAACAGGCAGTGAGCAGGGTTTGACCTGGGGGCAGTAGTTTGCCGATCCCTGGCAAAGATGAGGAGCGCTGGTGGCAAAGATGGACATCACAGGGTTGCTGCTCTGAAGAACAGCAGAGGGTAGCAGAGGAAGCACGAGCATGCACAGCTAACCTAGCCTCCTATTAGGTGTGTCTGCAGAGGTACCAAGCCCTGCCAAGAGCCCAGAAGAGGAAGAGGCTGCCTCTCATGGTGGTGGGGGATGTATTCAGAGAAGGCTTCATGGACAAGATGGCATTTGAGCATGGCTTTGAAATGATGGATGGAGTTTCTACAAACAGGACTGGGGTAGGTCCAAGCAAGAGTGCAGTGTGCTCAGGATGGGGAGTGTGAAAGGGTGAGCACGGGGGTGGACCTGGGACCAGACATGGAGAAGGTGGAGTCCTGCCCGTCTCTCATTCTATACAGTAAAGTGAACTACACGATTTTTTTTTCCCTTTTAATTCAACAAACGTTTTGAGTGCCTACTATGTGCCTGACACAGTTCTAGGGATGAGATGTTAACATCCGTAACCTGCATTTTTCTTGTACTGCCAACATTTTCAAAGAGTTTAGGAGCTATGGCTTTATCTTGTCCTCACAAACATGGAGAGGTTGAGTAATTCCCTCAAGTTATACCGCTAACTAATAGCAGATGCTCCTAATTTCAAATACAAACCTCTCTCCTGAGCAGCAGTACCTTATTTCTAGTTGACAATGAGTGTCTCCACAGGACAACTGGGAAGAGCTCATCCTGACCCCCCCAGCACCTCCTCGCCCCCCACATATTCTGTTGTAGACTGACTGGACCCCTTCTTTCCCATAGCTCCCACATCCAGCCCCTCTTCCCTCAGCAGCTGGTCTGGTGGCCCCAGACTGCCTGGACCAATTCATGCCCAGGTATGGCCGGACCTCACGACTCCACCTAAGATGGCCCAGCTGCCAGGAGGACGCACAGATCTCCTCCATTAACCCCTGGAAGATGAGGGGGATAGGGAGGGGCCCGAGGGTCTGGACTGTATACATCAGGGGGCATACTGGAAGATGAAACTCTATGGGGCAGTTCTACTCTGTGCTACAGCGTCGCTGTGAGTCACAGCTGAATTGACGGCACACAATAACTGGAAGATGCGGAGTAGAGGAATCACGTGAACCACTGGTGTTCTAGAAGGTCAACTCTAGCATCAGGCATGCTACAGAAATTGTCGTGGCAGGAAGGCTAGTTAGGAAGCAGGTGCAATAATCAGAGATGAGGGGAAGAGGGTCTGAGTTGGGGAAACCGTGGTGGAGAGGCAAAGGAGGCAGCAAAGGGAGGGGACACTCGGTGGCTCTGACTGGGTGACAGGCTGCATGCGGACAGCCAGCTCAGGCCTGGGAGAAGGGTAATGAGGCCAGTGAGAAAGTTCGCAGAAGGATCAGCTCTCATGGGAGAACAAGACTGTTTCGGACATGCTGAGTTTGAGATGGTCAATCTCGGTAGATACCTGAAGCCCAGAGCTCAGGAGAAAGGCAGGAGCTGGAAATATATTTGGAGTCCTGGGTGGATTACGGAGCCCTGGTGGCAGAGTGGTTAAGAGCTACAGCGAGCTACAGCTGCTAACCAAAAGGTTAGCAGTTTCAATCTATCAGTGGCTCCTTGAAAACTCTACCGGGCAGTTCTACTCTGTCTTACAAGGTCGCTATGAGTTGGAATCGACTCGACAGCAATGTGTTTTTTTTTCTTTTTTTTGGTTTTGGGTGAATTACACCACCTCAGGAAACCTAGCAGTAGAATGAGGGGGCCTTGGCAAACATCCGGTCACAGATCAGACCCTGGGAAAAAAGTGTTTAGAAAGATCTGGAGGTACAGACCTGAGAAAAAGTTTGAGACAGGTCCAAGAGGTGGGGGGAAACCAGGAGAGAAAGGTGTCACGAGTCTAAGAGGACAAGTTCAGGCTGGGAAGGTCAACAGCATCAACTCTTGAGCAGAGGTCACTTGTGGACTGTTCTTTGCTGTTGTTAGTTGGTGTCCAGTCGATGCCAACTCAGAGCGACCCCATGTGTGCAGAATAGAACTAGCCATAGAGTTTTCAAGGCTGTGACCAGGCCTGTCTTCCGAGGTGCATCTGGGTGTGTTCGAACGGCCGACCTTTTGGTTAAGATAGTTGAGCACTTAACCCTTTGTGCCACCCAGGGACCGTTCCTTAAACACAACCAAATTATAACCTATTAGCTGGCTGTGCTCTGGTCTGAAGAAAACAGTGCATACACACTTCACTCATCTTTTAACTGTTTATTGTATAATATAAAACTACAAAAGTAAGACTGCTCATTTCCATGTACATTTAATCTGTCCAATTATTTAGATTACAGCCCAAACCTACATGTGAATACAGCCATCTGGGTTCCGATGTAATGTCTGTAATATTGCATAGAAAAGGCACAGCTCTCAGGTCTGTGGGGGAAAAGGTTACACCTCTTTTTTGACAAAAAGCCCTCCTCAAAAACCATGCACCAAACATGTCACTATTTACAGCTTTTCCAAAATCATGGTTGTTTGCATGTACAGACTGCACTTCTCTTCTGAATTTACTATCTCCAAAGGAAGTCCAAAAATTCTATTGGCTTTGCTTGCAATAGCATGTGATCCCAGTTCATCTTCAAGAACCATTAAGACTCATTCTTAGAAGTACTGATGGCAACTGTACACAGGCAGAACCATACACACCTCTCTGCCAGTGAGGTGCGCAGCGGTTACGGCGCGCTAACCACCCACACAGCCAGGCAGGTGAGACAGGCTCTTTCCAAGGCTCTTGGAAAACGTAGAAAGGTCCAATTTGCAACAGCAAGGTTTTGAAATTAAGACAATTAATAGATAGTAGAGTAACAATCGCTGCACAGAGTCGAGTCTCTTGTTTTTTTTTTTTTTACATCTGTCATTTAAGAAGGCCGCCCTGCGGTATTCATAATTCATTGTGTACCACAAAGGTGGCTAATAAATTTAAGCTTTAAAAACGATCCGTAAGTTGATACTTTGGCTCTCTGGATTTTATTTATTTAAGAAAATTTCCTTGACTGACCTCAGGGCAGTTGGGGCGCTCCAAGGGGCTATGGCGATAAAAAGCTCAATTGATAAAGACCCTTGAGGTGTACTGGAGGCTCTGGCTAGTTCTCACTCTTTGGTATGAGTGAGGGTGTAGGTGTGGTTGCCCCTTCTGTCATAAAAGAGAAAGTGCTACTAAAAAAACTTTAAAAATATCAACCTTTTGATGCTTGATTTTCTTAAAAATTTGGAGGTATTGAAACATTCCTCATCCATACCTTTTGCATATTTCAAATAGACCCATAGTAGAGAAAAGAGTAAAAATAATGTGGACTGTGCATACAAGAAGACCCAGGGGTCTGGCTTGGACCCCTTTTTTAATACAAATTTACATTCCTACAAGAGAATACATTCCTACCGTACATTCTGCACGTTACAACCCAGATGTTGTTAGAGCTCCACAGTACAATAAATATATTTACACAGAAAAAAAAAGGAATAAATAACTTATGGGGAAAAAAAAATCACTTCAAATTCAAAGCTCTTATTATTCTGCTCTCATCTTGTCACTTCATTGCACATCACTGTCAATCATCGGCCCTCCCAGCCCCAGCCTGTCTTTCTCATAAAGGCACCTCAGACTGCCTGCTCGGCTCTAGGTGCCACGTGACGTCCCTTACAAAGGGGAGGAAGGCACTGCCGCCAAGTGGGGTCTGGAAGCACATCCCCCAGTCCAATGGGGACTTGGAGACCACACTGGGGCGCAGGCTCTCTCCTGTTGGGACATCACTCTATGAAAATAAGACACAAGATAATTTCAACACTTGATGGTTTTGCTCTTTTTGAAAATGGGCCCACTCATTCCCCAGGTCTTCCTCGTGAGACTCTGAATAGCAAGAATTTACAGCAAGGGTGTCCAGGGTTTAAAAAAGCATTTGCCTGCTGTTGTTGGGGTTTTTGTTTTGATTTTGCAGCCCAGCCTTACAAATACAAGAGAGTCAGAGAACCACTTTCAGGCAACACTTCTCTCTGCTTATTTGAACTGTTGCCCAACATATGGGATTTGTTTAAACACACGATTTGCTAATCCAACAAAAGTACAGTTCTAAGTTACTGTAACAATGGTAAATCAACTGCTTTACCATGTCACTGTTCGGGATAATCAACACTATTGTGCATGTATTTGTGTGCAGCATGTGGCAAGATTCCCGTGTCCTCCGGTTATCAAAACCAGGGAGTCTGGGGCAGACTTGTTCTCTACAAGAAAGGAAAGTCCTCAAAACTGACAGACACAGTGACATTGGCTGCATCTACCACAACCGTCACCGTAACTACGTGGTCCCTCATCCCGTCAGAGAAGACAACACATCTGTAGCAACAGAGGAGTCGTGTGGAGGCTTCTTGCAGGAGGACAAGCGCAATCTGATCAGGTTCTCACTGCTCTACTGAGCTGACAATTAGCCTTTAAGACATATTCAAGTGGGAAAGAAGTAAATTAGAACGTAGAAAGATTTAATTACATCACACACAAAATCTTTTGCTTAGACAAGCAGTTCCTTCATCACAAATGTATTTGCTCTGCCATGTGCATTATAAAAATAAAACTACCTATGGCTTGTTTAAAGTGCCACTTTATAAAGTTGTCTCTTTAATTGGCCAGAAAGGCTCCATTTTATCCATGGCAAGAAGTGAGCAGAATGGGTGACTGAATATTGACAAATGACCAACAACAAAAACAACAACAACAAAAACAAAATCCCATAATTTAAAAAAAAAATTTTTAAATAAATATAAAAGTTATTTCTAAAGAAGCCATCTGCATTTCAACAATATAGGTTATAACCTGCACTCAACAGCTAAAGTACCATTGGAAGAAAGGAAAACAACTGAAACAAAAAGGCCATAAACAGTTTTCGGCAACAAGCATGATACATTGCAAACGTTTTAAAATTAAATGTACACCACTAGGAATAAAAAGCTACTTCTCAAGTGTCCTGGGGGTGGGGCGGGGAAGAGGAACATGCATAGAAAGTCTTGTCTGTGTATCTGGGTAAAACGGCCTTGTAAAATGTGAAGCAGTTAAAGCAGTTGATTCAAGAAGGCAACCAGGTTGGAAGCTGTGATGGAACGTGACAAGCTCCAGGTTCGGGAGCCACGGATATCACAACGAGAGTGTGTCCTGGGCTGGTGGAGGTGAGCTGGGCTCACTGTGGTGATGGTGGAGACGCCATTTTCAGCACTTAGCAACAGAGGGAACAGAAGCTCCAGGGAAGGGGAGCTGGAAAAGACAATTCAGCAACATGATGGATGCCTTCTGGGGAGACTTTCTTTTTTAAGAGCCCTGAGCATTACAATAGGGCTTTAGGTTCCATGAAAAGGTTGGTTGCTTTTAATAAAATTTTGTTCAGATGTAAAATTTCAGATCATAATAAAAATTATGCCACAGAGAAAGATTTGGGTTTCATTTAGGGGGAAAAAAAAAATTAAAAGCGCAAACTTGGCATACATACACACTTGAGCAAGTCACTCAGCAGCCTTCCGCTCAAAAGAGGAAGCTAAGGAGAGCCATCACTTAACCCCCGAGCTCCACAGCCATCTCCCGCCAACTGCTTAATGCAAGTCTGATGAGCCGACGGGCTCTGGCTTTGGGAATCACAGTACTGGCAGGTGTTTGTACCAGGGGGTCAGTGCTTGTGAAGCGTGGGTGTGATATCGTCTGGCCCTTTCTTAAAGCGGTCGGTGTGTGTGTGTGTGTCTGCATTTGGGGATATCAACTGCAGATTGATTTGATCCAATTTTCTCTTTGCACCATACACATATAAAACATTACAATTCTATAAAAGTACAAGTACAACTTGTACATCTGAAGTTTGCAGGAACTATGTGAGCAAATCCTATCAAAATAGCTATCTCATATGTATAAACAGCATTTGTTTTTAGAAAAACAATATCATAAACTGCAGAATCTGTACAAAAATATAAAATAAATTTGGGCAGCAGTTTCTAAACAGCCATGTAAATGCAACACTTACGAGGAGTAGTTAATGCCTCTAAAAAGGCTGAATTGCCAAGTCAACCTATACAGGGCGAAAATGCCAGAAAAGGTACTGAGATTATCTAAATAATATATATATATATATTTTCTTTTTTTTTACCTCTTGCAATAAAACTTATAGAAAAAATAGACAAATATGCACATGCAATGTACAGCTTTCCCAACTTAATCCTTGTGCTTCACTTGGACTATTTGTCTGTCATTCATCATAACAGCATTGTCTTCAAATGTGTTCCTTCCTATAACAGGGTAGAAGGTCTCTGAGGAACCACTCAAAAAAAGCATATTAAAAGTGGTCATACTTGGATGAAGGCACTCCAACTCTGCTCAAAGCAAAAACTAGTGTGATCCTTTTGTAAAATTTTCTTTTTCTCTGAAAAAGGCAAGCCAGGGTGCATGCACAGTGCAGAGAGTTGTGGGGGCCGTGGGAGCACTTGTGGGGTCTGGGTGGGTACGGATGTCACCGGGCCCCTCGGTCTTAGGACCCCACGAGCACCTCCATGATGTGGTCCAGTTCCGTGAGGTCCATTTTGAAAGGCTGACTCGGGGCAACGGGCTGACTGCTGTAAGGGGCGAGAGTCTTGAGGAGGTCATCAGCCGACACGGGGGCCATTTTTGAGGCTGTCCCGGATGCGGACGTGCAGGGGTCAAAATCATACATCGACGTGTCAATGTCAGCAAACAGGATGTCATCCAGGGTCAAGTCTGTCAGAAACCCCGTGGACGTGGTTATTTCAAAGTTCCCGGGCAGAGAGTCCATCAGCTTCGGGTCGTCCGTCCGGCCCTCAGGGAGGCCCTCGGGTTTCGGGGCACTGGGCTCACTGGAGCTCCCTTTCAAGCTGTCAGTCGTGGCTGCTGTGGCCTCTGTGGAGGTAGATGTGGGACAGAGCTCCTCGATCTCGTCTAAGGCCGAGGAGAAACTGTCCTTTTCCGGCAGGAGAGCTGGAGGCGAGAGTTTGGTGGGCACCACAGGCGTGGCCTGGGTAGTGCAAAAAGTGTCATCGTCGTCCTCGAGCAGCGAGGCTGGGGTGAGGCAGGCCTCCAGGGGCGTAGTGCTTCCCAGGTCGCAGGGATGGGTGGGCGGGGATGCAGGGTGGCTGAGGGCGGGCGGAGTCTCTCGGTAGCTGTCGCTGAGTGAATCGCTTGGCTGAGAAGAGGGGGCGAACATGGGCCTCAGGCTGCCTTCCTGCTTGAGTTCCTCCTGGATCCGCCTCAACATGTTGTTAATTAAAACAGTCTTCTGCAAGCTGGGCTCTGTCAGGGGCCTGTGGTTGTAGAGCTTCATAAGGGAAATGTTGAAGATAGTCTGGCGCTGTAAGGTGTAGGACACCTTAGATGGACCGTCAGAGGGAGACACGATTTTGCCTTCCAGCCCATCTTCATGCTCATCAAACTTCCGTTTTCCTCCTTTACCCAACATATATCTGCAAAGGAGAGAGGAAGGAAATGGAATTAATCACACAAAAACAAATTTCCAAAATAAAAAAGGAGCTTATTTAGAGGTCAGGACTTGGACTTCAGTTCCTCATCCTGTATCACTTAGAAGAACAGATTAATTGGGGGGAGACCTTTGGAAGGAGGGAGAATTGGGACATCTACCTTACGAGGCCCGTGGAGCAAATTTTATCACTAGGTAGTCTGGTAAATGTATTTCTTGAGAAATGTGTACGACACAGACAAGTTAAGAGTTACCATGGAAACAGTGATTTTGATTTTCTCAGCTCATGTGCTTGTGTTCGCATGCCTAACATTAACATGCAGGTTCAACTTCCCTCCCCCAAATAAATTTATTTTTAAAGCCCGAGAGAACACTCACAACGCTCTGACCTACACAGATACATGTGTCACAAATCACAGCTTGGACACATTTTGAACAATTAAAAGAACCCAGTTAGAGAAGGGGGAGTGCGCACCATGTCGGGAGAACTGTGTGTGCTTTCAAGACGCTCTTCCTTCCTCATTATGCACAATGCTGTTCTGCCTGTTTGGTGACGTGTGGTGAAGCACTTGGCCTGTGTTAAATGACCACAGTGACTTAGCTGCCATCGTGTTTCATCCTAGAATCAAGTGCAGGAATGTGTATTTTCCAGCCCAAGTTTCTCCTTGGCCCAATTTCACTGCATACAGTTATGTCTGAATGAAACTGGATTAAATTAAAAGTAATTTGCTGATTATGAGCACTGCTGTTTGGGTACTTGAGAAATTTCATAATAAAATACCCACTGTGATTCCTGAGACACAGATGTATTTCAAAGAAACAGCAGCCTCCTGTCTCAGACCTCGTGAATGTGGCAATGGATTGAATTTTAAAACCGACACGAAGAACCTCTGCCTCATCATCTCTCCTGACTCCCACAGCTAATTTCTCTCTACCACTGGCTTTGGTGAAGACACCCATCAGCTGGTTGTCATCTGGACAGTGGGCCTTCTTCCTCTCCAAGTCACCTCGCCATCACCGCCTTTCAGAATTCCTATGCTCTACACAGAACAATCTCAGTCAGGGCCACTAGCCTTTGCCTCACAGATCTTACTTTCTAACCATTTAATCAAGACAGCTGTTCTTATGCTGGCCACACCAGGATCCATGGCTCTAATTAAGCCAGGCAAACATACCAGTGATCACGAAGACTGCGCAGGATCAGCTATACATAAGGCGACTGTGAGCTGACTTGACAGCAACTAACAACAAGCCCTCGCCCCCTCGCCCCCTCTGCAACGCTGACACCCGGGGCATGCTAATACTCTCTCCTCAAACATCTTTCTGATTTCTTCATATACAGGTATGCATTGCTTAACATCCACGATACATTCTGTGAAATAGGACGTTGTGTGATTTGGATGCTGTACAAACACCCGGGCCCACAGGCTCCAGCCCAGGCTCCCGGGTGCAGGGGCCCGGGGACTGCTGTTCAGCCCAGGGCCCTGGCAGCTTCTGCTGCAGATGCCTCCAGAGAGCCCTTGGCGGGTCCCGTCCGGCCGAAGCCCCGTGAAGGTCACAGTGGGGAGGCTTCGGGCACAGGCTCAGGCAGCAGGGGAGTGGTCTTGGCAAACCAGCATCCCCGCCCAGGCCAGGCCCCACCATACCTGTGGACTTTGGGTGCTCGGGAGCAGGATCAGGTGCCCACTCCTCCCAGTGGCAGGGGTGCCTGTTCCTGAGGGTAGGGAGCTGTGGGGCAGGCTCGCTGCCTTGTTGGGCTGTAGGCATCCCCCGGAGAAAGAAAAGGAGAGGTTTTTTTTTGTTTTTTCCCTTCTGTTTTTGGGAATGTCAGTCATTTATTATGGGAGTGGGGGTGGAGTTAGGGAAACAGCTCCTGTATAAAAGGAGACCCGAGGCTGCACCTGGAGCACGGCGGGGGCCCCAGGGCAGCATCCTTCAGTCCCAATCTGGGGCATTCCACAGGTCTTGCTGGGGCTCAAGGTGGAGCCTCTCTCTCAGGCGGTCACACCCAGCCCTGGCTCCACAGGACCTGCCCTAGGGCTTTGAGGTATGCAATCCTTTACCCGTTGCTTCTTACGTGCAGGCCTGGCAGGCTGGCTTCGCTCGGTCAGCCTGGGGACCAGGTCCTTGTCAGGCTCCTCGCTCACCGCCTGGTAGAAATACTCAGCTTCATCCTCCTCCTCCTCCTCAGGTCAGTCAGCCCTCCGCCTCAGCAGGGCCCTGGGTCCTCAGCATCAACATCCCCATCGGCCTCTTCCCGGGCCTTCTTCATGCCCACCAGATGCTTCTTCTTGTGGGCCTCTCCTTGCTCCTGCTTGTGCTGCACACTGTGGGCCTGCTGGGCCTGCCTTTGGGCCGTCAGCCGCAGCCTCTCCTCCTTGGCTACCAGAATGGCCTGCAGCTCCTCCCTCTCTTGTGCAGGAAACTGTGGAACAGCACATTCCCCTCCCTGACACCTGCTGGATCTTGATGATCTGCAGCATCACCCGAGGATCAATCTCAGTGAGCCACATGGCACTCTACTGGGCCTGCTTGTCCCTGTGCCCGGCAATGACCTGGGGCAGCTCTGCAATGTTGTGCTCGCGTCTTTGAGCTCCGCCTCACTCTCTGACAGCCCTGTGCCCATGGCCAGCAGCTCCCCGATGTCCTACAGACGGCTCATATTGGGGAACTTCTCCTGGAGAAGCTTCTTCATCTCGTGACTTGCACCCACAGGAACGACTCTGATACTATAATGGCGGAAGTCCAGCTCCAGGGAGTCGGGGTTGTAGTTGATGAGAAGGCAGTGCTTAGTGGTGTTTACCTTGTGCATGTTGAAGGAGAACAGGTTCTGGAACATAGTGGCATGAGATTCATGTGCATGCCACAGGGGGCCAAAGCTGTTGTGGGCTAGGAGGGGTGGATGGGCATCCCCTGGAGGGTGCACGCTGGACCACAGACTTATATGCAGTTGGACACTGCCCAGACGTTACAGAGCCTGACTGTATAAGCCAATTGCTTTGCAATTATCCAATTTTTCTTCTAAACTCTACTTATCGCTTATGGAATTGCCTCATTCTTTCTGAACTCACTCCAAATCTATGCTGTCTTAGACACTATGGGGAGTCCCACAGATGCATAAAGCCTGGCCTTTAAGGGGCTAAATATCTCCTCCTACACCTCACTATAAGGAGCCCTGTTAGGGCAGTGGTTAAAGCGCTCGGCTGCTAACCAAAAGGTCTGTTGTTCAAACCTACCAGCTGCCCCATGGGAGAAAGATGTGGCAGTCTGCTCCCGTAAAGATTACAGCCTTGGAAACCCTATGGGCAGTTCTACTCTGTCCTACTGGGTCGCTGTAAGGTCACTATGAGTAGGAATCAACTCTATGGCAACAGGTTCAGTTTTTTGGTTATACCTCATTAGCAATTTGAATTACGCATCTTACCCTAAAGGAATAAGGTCAAACATAAACTTCACAGAACTTCCGTCCAATACTTTGCTCAAGAAAGCCACACTGCCCCTCAAGGCACACATGCAGAAGTCAGGGTGGTCATAGGGCCTGCCTGGCACTGAACCCCACCTGTGGTGACCGACTCCATTGGCCTCAGGCTTCAGGAGAGAAACATGAAGAATGTTGCAATCTATCAACGTCAGAATTAGCTTAAGAATTTGCTAATGTGTATGAAGAATATGGAGTTACTTGTCTGAAACACTCTCCCTCATTTTGTAAACATTAAGAAAATGGCTGTCAATCACTAGGACCAAAGATTAGCCAAGTAATTAACTGTTCTCTGATGTAGGGAAGGTATAATAAACAACTCACTTATCTAACACTTCACATGACAGAAATACTTCCCACTGTTTAGTGGTAAAAGTCTCATTTGTATATATATTTTACATAGAACCTTTCCTCTCTAAAGGATCTCTGCCCAATTAAACTTGAGAATGAATTACGAGTTGGGGTGATTTCACTCCATGTTACAAAACGCTTTCTACTTTATGTGTTAGAAGTGTTATTGGACAATTGCGTTTTGAACAAAATAACTTTATTCACAATCACACTATCTCTATTTGCTTAAAAATTAAGTATTTCAATACTTCCAGAAAAAAATCCATGCTTGCCAAAGTGCTTACTAAGTGCATTTAATTCTCACATAAAGCTGCTGCAAAATAATGTGATCATGCCCAACACATTTAAAAGTGTGTGTGAGTATGAGTGTGCGCGTGCATACATTAACAAGTACACACATACACTCTTAAAACAGCGTTTCTCTGAATGTGGTCCATAGATGGTGCTCATCTGTGAGCTGTTACCAGCCCATGATGAGGTAAGTACAGATATTGTAGAATTTAGAAACTTTTATAGCAAATTGACAGAGTAATTGTACGCCCACTGAATATTTGAAACAGCAAAAAACAAAACAAAAAAAAAAAAAAACAGGGCTTGTATTTTCCACATCTTCCTGTTTTTATTTCGTTTTTCTAGTAATTTTTATTTTGTTTTATAAAAGTATTAGTGCGTGAAAGATTGGGAAAAAAAAACCCAAAACAGGGTCCTCAGCACAGTTTGAGAAACACTATTCTAAAATGTAAACGTAACAAACAATGAAAACCGAATCAGCTCATCGCCACTTTGAATTTTCACTGGTTTCTGCGGGAGAAGTAATATTGAGGTAAGATAGTGTGGACTTTTTCTTTTAGTCACTATGGAGAACTACCTTTTAACGATCCGGTGCTGGAATAGACAACAGGACTTTTTCAATAACTCACATTTCTCTAGAAATAATCACTGAATCTACAGAGTGGAAATATTTAAAAAGCCCATGGGGCCAGGCAATACTATCGGTATTTAGCAGAAATCCAGTAGCTGAAAAGACATGTGTGGAGATACTTTCAGAGAGATTCCAATGTGAGAAGCACCTAATTTCCAATTAGAATGACCCAGCTGTCCAGAGCTGTGTGGTAATCTGATGATTTAGAAAAAGCCTGGTAAGACATTTGTAATGT